ACAAACTTGGCAATAATACAAAGTGAAAGGTTTCCTTTTTCGATTGACTCCAGCATCTTTTGCTTTAAATATCATGTTATATTTTCTCAGAAGTATTTTTTCAACTTTCAAGATCAGTTTTATAGATATTATTTTCGAAAAAAGCCTTAATATTCACGAAATAAAGCTGCCATAGCCGACAGCAAAAAAAAACATTGTCAATTTTCCCGCGTTTTTCCTCGTTTCCTAGGATACGAGGCCTCATCACGATTTATGAATAAGGTCTATATCCATGGATTAAAAAGCGCCTTCAAGGCAATTTAAATGGCAAATAACGATGGGAAAAGCATCAGAAAGTCCTTAAAATGTTGTTCAGATACCACAGGTAAGAATAATTGTATATTTGACTTGTTAATATTTAAACAGATTCATTGCGAAATAATGTAGTGATTTATATGACTGTTTACTTGAGCGAAGTGTGAAAATATTCCATTGAATGTTTGAATTTGCCGCGTTCGTTTTGCATATAAAACATGCAAATGTTGCTTTCAGGCAAGGGACGAAAGATTAAAATATATAAATTCATATCTATTATTGTGAATTCCATACTAATTTACGCACTAATATTAACAATTTGACAATATTAAATTGCCTTTGACATTGGCACTTTGCTAGACCTTTCAAATGTCAAGACTCAAGGCTATATAGTGATATGAAATAAGATATTATACATACAGATGTTTTTGAAGATCTGTTAGCATTTTAATACTTGAATAAGGATTGGAATTACAGGAGAATGACAGCATTTAATCTGATATTTTCAGTGTATAGATAGCTGAATAACAGAATTGCATCCTACTTTATTGTTTACTCTGTCTAATGCCAGAGGATTTTCCTACTTGCCTTGCCGGATAACTTGGCTACTGTAGAGAATGTTTAGTTTTCCCGACTTACTATACTTCACCCGGGAAACTCTGCAACCCTAGATAGAATGAATAGCCCAGGAATACATACAAATCATTAGGTATGTTTATAGCTTTCCTCTATTTCTATAAGCAGCTTATTCTTGCCTATTTTGTAATCATGTTTTTTAAACCTTTTGAATGATCCAAATTGTGTTTGTATTTTGTCATTGCGCAGCAATAATGGGGTAACTTGATTTCATATAAATAGACTGCTTTTTGTCCTGCCTGAGTGAGTAACTCACCTTGACGGGTAACTCGCCTACTGATGTACCGATATCCATAATATTGGTGTATCAGTCATCTTTGAATTTTGTGAAATGACATGTATTATCGGTATTGGCAAAGTATTGGTCTTTTATTATCAGTTATCAGAATATCTGTGAATTTCCATATATCGGTGCATCACTAATACAGTTCAAGATTGTGTTTATATGAGAAAATGCCATCCTGCTCGCCGGGACAATTTTGTTATGTTGACATTGTTTTGACAGTTGTTAAAAATAGCTTGCAGCTCGGCATCTTTGAACATTCATCCTGGCCCAGCCTGCTTGTGAGTGTATATGTGGAGAAATTTTCATCCCAATAAGCAACATTGTGGCATCAGAGCCAGCCTGCTTGTGGAACCATATAAACACATGATAATTTTTTCTAGATAAATATACCTAATGCAGTAAGATCTTGCTTACCGGCCTGTCCCGCTAAGCGGTCCAGCCCAGCTTCCATATAAATACATTGTACAGCTGGTTTAAAAGAACCATGAACAGCAACCGGCTATACTGTCAGTAACTGTGTGATATGGTATTGGACAGATTATTACATTTCTTAATATTGCAGCTTTGGTGCATGAATAAGGGATAATAGTCTACTGGGGACATGCTGCAAGAAAATGATAACTGAATCCAGGACATCTGTATCTGCCTACAGCCATGTCTCTGCTTAATAAAATTTATATAAAACATATGTAGTTTAATACTCCCTCTTTCGTCTTCTACCAATATGAACAGGTGATTGGCTGATTATAATATTAAACAATAAACTGTTTGTATTAGATAAGAATGATATTATATTATAAATAATATTAAATTAATTATATTAATGAATTATATTATAAATGAATTATATTATAAATAATAAGTCATAAAATTAATACTCCTCTATCTCTTTAACATAGACAGATTTTCATATTTTTATTACTGTGGTGCATGGTGCCAGAAATTTTAGGGGGGGGGGGTGTGTGAGCTGTGAGCAGGTGACTGAAGCATCACAAAGTGTTACCATACCCCAGTAAGGTCTATATTCTAGAGGTGGAGCACTAGAGATGTGAGGGGGAGTCTAGAGAGCAGAAAACAAAGTATCCCTGGAGAAATTTTAAAAAAATCATGATTCCTAGCTTTGAAAAAGTTTTTTGAAGTGGTCATATCAATGGATTTGGCATGTCCGATTGTCTGATGAGACTTGGGAGTGTTAAACGTAAAATGAACCTAATAGGCCAATACACAATATGCTTTTACCAGTTTTATAAAGTCATTGACATTGTGTCGTTTGAATCCGAATACATTTTATGATGCAACTCCGATGTAAATAATAATTGGGGCATAAAGATTAAATCTAGGCAAGTCTATTTCCTAAAAGAATTAAAAACTAAAAATAATGTTCATAAAAAATCCAAATGTTCCTTCCGAGCAAGCTATTTGCATGAGAAGGCACTGCAAACTCTATTCAGGGGAGATAATAGTGTTTCAAAACTTTACAATTGCTCCAATAAACCAGTGAATGCACTGTCTTTTTCTATTTGAGTGTACTCCTACGTTTATTTTATATCATCAACACTGCATGTTGGAGTGGACTATTTAATTATTTTTTATTACAATCCGTCTATGCTTTATAATCTAGTTAACTTAGGTAACTGAGGAGTGATTCAGATTAGCAAGCAAGTCTCCAGGTCTATTGTTCTTGCAATTTTGCATAGATACAGTATAGCTATTTCAATTAAGGTTGTCCCCCAAGCAAAGCAGAAAAGTCGAATACAAGCAGGAAAGTCTGCTGAAAATCGCTAATAAATTCATTTATATTTCTGTATACACCACATATAATACTTAGAGTGATGCTTACATTCTCAATATGTAAGTAAACTTTTACACATTACTAGCTGTATAAGGATGTATATATGATGGATCTCCAGTGGCATTTGCATGATGTGTTTGGAACAGTGTTTAATGTGCATTATAAAGAAATCTATGGACTTTGAACAAACGGTTTGTCAGATACTGTAATATTGCTTGTCATGTGGAAAGAGTTGAAAAATTACTGCTTCAGGTCTTCAGGAGAACTTAAATTTGCTACAACACATTCCTGTGCAATCAGAACTACACCTAGTTGTGCAACAGTGCAGCTGAGAAAAGAACTTGTATAAATTGACAATAATTTGATGTTTTGTATGTTACTCTGAGTGTATATCCACACCCGGCAGGCTAAAAAGTTAGCCTGACCATGGTGGGAATCGAACCCGCAACCTTTGGGACACTAGTCCAATGCTCTGCTAACTGCGTATACTTTTATTTTTATTTATTTATTATTTTTATTTTTAGCTTTGCCAACTAGGGCAGGGTCACCACAACAGCATATGCCAATTACTGTGGGCCCTTTTATACCTAACCCACCCTGTCAACTTTCACTGTGGGAGGAAACCGGAGTACCCGGGGAAAACCCACGGCTTTCGGCAGAGTGCTGACTTTTACTCTTTTCGCATGGGGACTGGGTTCGAGTCGCACTGAGAAGGTACTTAGTGAGACTCGAACCTGCAGCCTCAGAGGTGAAAGGCAAGTGCGCTAACCACTTGGCCACCGAAGCCCCTAAGTACACACACAGAGTAACACAGAGTATACACTCAGAGTAACGTCAAAAACAATATTCACCTGAGTACCTGTACATATAAACACACAAACAACACATTCTTAATAAGAAAATTCTTTTTAAGAAAAATTTCTTGATTTGAGAAATTATTTTCTTAAAATAAGAAATTATTTTCTTATTTTAAGAAAATTTTCTTATTTCAAGAATTTTTTTTCTTGGGAGAATAACAAGAAAATTTTCTTAATAAGAAAATTCATTTTAAGAAAAATTTCTTGTTTTGAGAAATTATTTTCTTAAAATAAGAAATTATTTTCTCATTTTAAGAAAATATTCTTATTTCAAGAATTTTTTTTCTTGGGAGAATAACAAGAAAATTTTCTTAATAAGAAAATTCTTTTTAAGAAAAATTTCTTGTTTTGAGAAATTATTTTCTTAAAATAAGAAATTATTTTCTTATTTTAAGAAAATTTTCTTATTTCAAGAATTTTTTTTCTTGGGAGAATAACAAGAAAATTTTCTTAATAAGAAAATTCATTTTAAGAAAAATTTTTTGATTTGAGAAAATATTTTCTTAAAATGAGAAAATATTTTCTCAATTTAGGAATTTCTCTCAAGAAAATTTTCTTAATAAGAAAAATTTTCTTAAGAAAATTTTCTTATTAAGAAAATTTTCTTGTTATTCTCCCAAGAAAATATTTTCTTATTTCAAGAAAATTTTCTTAAAACAAGTTTTTTTTTTCTTAAAATAAGAAATTGATTTTTTGCTGTGTAGAGTTCTGTTGGCCTTTGCACACATCTGGATGATATGGGTAGACCACGATAAATTATTGGAAACGGTCACTCCGAGGTCTTTAGTAGCGATTGCCACTTGTAGATCTTTTCCCCCAAGGTGATAATTCGTATGGGTATGGCTTGGTGTTCGTTTCCTGGACATGTGCAGTACCTGACATTTTGAGATGTTAAAAGACATTTTCCAATCCTCACTCCATTGAAATAAACTGTTAAGGTCAGACTGAAGTGTAGCAGAAGAACTTCTAGACGACATAGATCTGAAGAGTTTAGAATCGTCAGCAAAAAGAGCTAACTTTGATTCATCAGATAAACAGTCGGGCATGTCGTTGGCATAGATAATGAATAATAGAGGCCCTAGGATTGATCCCTGCGGTACTCCGGATGTTACAGGCAGCCAGTCTGAGAATTCACCCTCCAGCATTACACGTTGACACCTGTGAGAAAGATAGCAAGAGAGGACCTCCGATTCCATGACCGTTAAGTTTGTTCAATAATAGGTTGTGCGACACTTTATCAAAGGCCTTTGAAAAATCCAGGTGTATAACGTCCACCTCCTGACCGCTCGCTAAAGTATCCAACATATCATGATAGACTGTCAATAACTGGGTCACTGTTGATCGACCTTGGATAAATCCATGTTGAAGGTTATGTATATGAGATTTAAAAAATGGAAAGCAATGATTAAAAATGCAACGCTCCAAAACCTTGGAAATGATACATAGCAATGAAATTGGTCTATAATTCATTGCTAGAGTTGGATCATCTTTCTTATGCACAGGTGTGATGTTTGCGCGCTTCCAAGATAAAGGAACATAGCCTTCTGATAAGGATTGGTTAAAAAGCCGACAGAGTGATGGGGCAATAGCATCGGCTGTTTTTACCAACAACATACCGGCAATATTGTCCGGACCACACGCTTTGTTTGGATCTAAGCCCTTTAAATTTTTTGCGACTTCAGATATAGTCAGTTGGATTTCAGACAGTTGGGTATATGTCGAAGAAGTAGATTCTGTATTCAATTGTTGGATAAAGTTTTCTTTAGGAGAGAATACAGAGTGAAAGAAACAATTTAATTTGTTAGCTTTAGCAGCCCGATCAATGATGAATACTTGACCATCGCGAAGGAAGTGAGGCGAAGCGGAATCTCGTGTAGATGACTTTACGAATGACCAAAAGCGCTTTGGAGAGCAAGCTAGTGTCATGTATATCAATACGAAAGTCATCTAGATGTGTACCAAGCTGCACTGATGAGGCGAAGGACGCCGAAACATGCATGTCTGCCGATTGTACTATTACGCTCCTTCACTTCGGTGTTGTAGAGCACCCTGTGGAGTCAATTGGGTGTCCATTAGCAATAATGCAAAGCTCACTTCCCTCGTGGTTGTTTGAGCACTCTGGCCCCATGCCACTCTGCGGATGTCTGGATGCGTTGATGGCCCGTATTATACCACATGCGCTTCGGAGAGCAAGTGTCATGTATATCAATACGAAAGTCATCGCGTGTCTAGATGTGTACCAAGCTGCACTGATGAGGCGGAGGGCGCCGAAACACGCATGTATTCGCGTCCGTGTCGTATCGGATATACAAACTCGCGCCTTCGGCTCGAGTTTGTATATCCGATACAACACGGCCGCTCA